GGTACAGTGCTATTCAGAAGTATTGGGTGTCGGCACAAAGACACATCTTTCAATAAACTACATGCAAGGGCCTCTCGTTTCCCGCTTAACATTCTTTTTCCTCCACTGCAGGTTTATGAAGTGAAACAAGGCAGTAATGTGGTTGAGCAGATCCGAGTATTCATTCACAAAGTCACAGCTCCTCTTCACCCAAAAGTAGACACCAATCGACCACAAAGCGTCAAATCTCTATGTCACCCTTTCTCCAGAGAGAATCAGCATTTGTGAGTAAAAACTTTCTGCTTTCAATTATAAAAATAGGTCAAACTGAATATTTCTCCTGTGTAACTCTGTGCATCTCCTCTCAGTCATTTACAATGCATGCAGTAGAATCAGCATGCCAAGGAGATTCCACAATTCAGAAACAGTGTGAACATGAACACAGAATTGGACTCTGACCCCTAATGCACTAATTGCACTGCTGACGTTGTCACATGACTGGGTGTCTACACAGGGTTATGGTCATCATAGACTTAATCTGGTTATCTGGTCTAGGTGGTTGACAGCAGGTGTGCTGTGTGGATTACAACAAAACAGATCTAGAAATAAATATGCTTTAGAAAATATCAGTGAAAAAATGCTTTGCTTAGTTCTGATTTCAGTCCTACAGACAGGTGTAGGTAGGATAATGTTATTTATGTATAAAATGAAGATCTTTTTGACCAGAAAACAATTGTATTTCAGAACCAAGGTAAACAGTAAAAAATAAACAGTAAAGTAAATTAGCTGTGTATGTTAGTCCTATATGTTAATCCTTTGATATTTACCTTTAAGGATCTGTTTCATGATGACTGCTGTGACGCATTACAAATGCTCTGTCATCTTTACACATGTGGAGCGACACAGTACACCAGCTGTTGCCCTCACCGTCGTCTCCTTCCACTAACTGTTGAGCCCACCATTCAGTTACCATTCATACCATTATTATCATTAAACACTGAGGGAGCAGTAACTGTTGTTGACTCACTGCACCTGAAAAACAGTTTAAACAAACAAAGGCACAACAGAGAAAGGAAGTTACAAAATATTAAATGCTTCAAATAGTTCAGTGCATTTAGCTGCAGTAACTGTGTAGACAGAGGATTCAGGACCACGGCTCCCAGTGAGTCCAATACAAACACCAGTTAAGTTTTAGTCTACAGCATAAGAGGGAGTCAGAAGGAAATTGGCCTGAGTTTATTTGGCAGGGTGATGTTGTACAGCTTCAGTTTTATCAGAAATTTTGATACGCTACTCAAAGTCTGTGATGAGCTCAGATCTGCAGAAGTGTATGAATGAATGAGTGAATGAATGAAGGAAACTCTGCCTGCGTTTACTGCTGTACAGTTGGAATTCTAACCTCACACTCTAGCCTGTAGCTAAATAACTCTTTAAAAAATGCAATTAGCTTATTTTCCCAAATTGTTCAGCCCTACTTACACAGTTGAAACAGGTCTGGACTAATGTGATTTCTAATTGGTCTAAAGGTTTTTGTGAATGAAAATATACTCTGCCAGGAATGACTACGTCATGTTGATGAGGGTTGAGAGCTTTGTCAGATCTGCTGAGGTGGTCACTGTAGCTGTATAAGTCCAAATGGCTTCACAGCCAAGTGTGAGGGCAACAACATATGGTCATATCGCTGTTGTAAAATTATACTGTACACTGGTGTTATCTCACCCATAGCTTTCCATCCTTATCTCTTTGGCTTTGCCTTTTGCCTGCCTGTTACTGACACCTACCGTATGTGCCCGCTGACTTCAGCCCTTGCTATTCCCCATTACCTGCCCTTTGCTTGCATTACTTTGAATAACTGAATTGTTTAATTTTTTGATGGTGTCCTTACATCACAGCATAAGCCTTCATATCTCATGTTGTTTATTTCTGAAGTGGATTTGGAATAGGCAGCTTTACTCACTCTGGGGTTTGCATTAATGAAGCAGCTTGGAGAAGTAACACCCACTGAGCTGTAAAGTGGACTAAAACATTTCCAACAAACCAGTCAATCTATCTGACTAGAGTGTGACACAAAAGTCTAAAGTGTGACACTCTCCTGTTGGACCTCATCCTTCGCTTTTCTCTACCTCAGAGAAACAAAGACAGGTAGCCTAAATCACAAAAAGTTGCTAAATAAAGCATTTAGACTGAGTCATTTGAGTAACTAAGGACAGAATCATGACTTCAGTGATGCTTTCTCTTCAGTCCCAACAAGCAAAATCACTTTAAAAGGCAGCGATCAGAGAGAAATGTCTTAAACGTCCACCTCCTGAGCTGTATGGAGGAGCGAGTGGGCAGTGGGCAGCTATATTTACAGCTCTGACTAAGAGCTAGCAGGAGCTCTCCCTCCACATCTTCTCCATCACTTCACCTTCATCAGTTTGAAAAAAGTCCAGGCCAGTTCCTTCAGATAAAAACACTAGTTATAGATTATAGTATATAGTGGCTTTCAAAGCACATCAGATCTTGAAGGAGGATTTGACTTGCTACAGGACTAGCAGCTGTGTTTTGGTACTGAATGGTTAAAAGGGTTACAGTCAGACCTTCATCTTATAATTATGTTATCAAATCAGTGTCAATAAAAAGTTAATTGTTAATAAAACTGTTTAGTATTATGGTAATGCATGCACACACAACCTTTCTCCCCTCATTACACCACAGTAACCATGTAGTACCAAAACAGGGGAAAACATACAGCAAAGCCACTTGGTTTACATTCATATCAACATATCTACCAGTATATTCATACTGAACATATCAATAAAATGTTCTAGATCATCATTTTAAATGCTTATATCTTCTATATCTGCGTATTACACCCAGTAAAGTCAAAAAAGTACAAATTACAAATTTGCCCTAAAGGACGTGATAACCTGAACAGAATACAACACTGTTTACCTGTAGACTCTTAGACTGTTCACAGGACTGTTCACAGGACACTTAGCTACCAGGAGAGCTTGTAACACTGACACTATATTAGCAGAGAGAAGCTTCTCTAATTTACTGATGCGTCTCGCTAAGACACTGTTAACTGTGAAACTAGTAAGCAATACTAGGTTGGAAGCTAAACTAAAATCCAAGTTAATCAGGCAGCAGCAGCAGCAGGGTACCACTGCTGACGTGTCAAAAGTTAATATGCAGGCCAAACACTGAGAAAACAATAGTAGTGAAGAATGACAGTTAAAGTCATAACGAGAAGTCAGAGTTTAGACAGAGGTCACTGATTTCATGGTGTGTGTGGCAGTGTCACAGTGTGCAGGTGTCAGTAGGCCTCAACTGGAGGCTGTTTAGTCAAGGTTAAGTGTAGAAACTGACTAACATCCCCGTGACTGATGCTGGGGCAGAGTCGTGTTCAGTCTTTACAAACTGAACTGTGAGCCGGGACACAACCTGGATCTGTTTGTTCCTCCCCCCCCCCACTATACAGTGTGAACATCACTCTACATATTGTAGTTCATGTCCAGAATGGCAGAAAATGTTGCCACTAATGTAAATTGCTATTGCAGATTAACAGATTATGATTATTATTAGCAGGAAACAGGGCTGACTGATTTTTTTGCTCTTTGTTGTCAGATTTGATCTGTCTGACAGGGATAAGTTCTTTGACAGCAAGACCAGGAGTTCAATAGTAAGTCAATGAATGTTTGGTCAGTGACCCCCGAGTTTGTGTGTGTAATTCAGCACAGTGACGTTATGTGCCTGACACATTGGATGTATGACTGTAAAGCCCCCCTGTACTGTATACACAATATGCCATTCTAACAAAGACCTGACACCCTGTGCTCCCCATTGGCTGCCAGGAGACCTGCCTTGGTTAAACAGCACTTTGTAATGCTTGCATCATCAGGTCTATCAGGTGCTGAAGAGGACAAGATGCACCAGAGCAAAATACTCCATGGGTAAGACCTCTGTCTATTTCTCCAATACACAGGATAGATCAGAAATGAAATTATTATGGGCCATTTCTTGATTAGAGTATGTACTGTAACTATTACTAGAGTGTGTAGGATTGTCTCTATTTGTATATTTGCCCTCCTTTGACCGACATTGCTGGATTAGCTCAAAAGAATCCTAAAATTTGAGTTCCTCCTGACTCTTTACTCAAACAGAAAATAATCTGTACAGATTGATGTTCCTGTGAGAACAAAGCCTATTGACCCCATCACCTTTCCTTTAGCTCAACTACAGTGTCAGACTTTTGCCGTCCGCCTGCATCTTCTGTCATGTGTTCAGTGAAAATGAAAGCTAAATGGGGAGGATTATGCAGATCCTGCTGATCCAGCACTGTCCTGAGTACTATATAATTGTCAGTTGAAAAAAATTACAAACCAAAAACAAAAGGTTCAGGTTTGTTTTGGTTTGGAGGCAGAAAATGCAAAAGGAATTTAGGATAGAAGGGAAATGAAGAAAGGCATATTGATAGAGCGAAGACAATTAGATTTTTATTGACCAGTTTGCTGCACAGTAAAAGCATTTACAGAAGAGGTGTATAACATAAAAATACAGCCAATGAATAGCTGTTAGCAACACTTCAGAGTGTGAGCTACTAGAATGTGTGTGTATCTTTGTTGAAGTGCAAACATTTGCTCTTCTGATCAGGTGCAGGAGCTTCACCAGTCATCACACTCAGTCACTGAGATGCATTGCCTGCAAATCAGCACTGATGCCACTTGCCCTGCATGCACTCCTTTTTTGCATCATGCCTTATGTGTGTCCTAATGTTTTTTAAAGGTGGACATATAGTACATGTTTAAATGTTATCCACGTTTTAATATTTTGGTAATAATTTATTCACTCCACTGCCTTTAAAATGTAGGCCAGACAGGCCCAGCTGTTCTGAGCTACTCTGCTCGATGTTGTCCACCTACTGGTGTTTCTAATGCCCAGGGTATATACTTTACATGTGATGATGAAACAGCTCAATGTCAGTCTACAAAAACAAAGTAGCTCCAGTCTCAAACTGAGTGACATAACAAGTGTTCCCCTCTGTGTTTGAGACATTTGGATTTTCTTTTCTCTGCGTTTTTAGCCACATCTTTACTTTACTTTACTTTAAAAATTGTTATTTATAAAAAGTAAGTCAGCAACAGTCCACGGTTGCTTAGTCAACTCAGTGTATAATGGTGATACAAACACATGAAGGGTAAGCAGGTGGACAGAGCAGGTCTGCGCTGACTGTACAGTGGCAGGAGACAGACGTGAGTGAGATGAGGCCACGCTGCCTGGACAGCACCATCTGCTCACCACCACACAGTTAGCTATTAGCTACAGTATTAACACGAGATGGAACCGCGACCCAGTGCTGTGGACATTTGTACCATGGTTTTGGATTCAGTTTTAGAACCACTACACCCTTATCCATGATGGAGTGTCACCGTATATATGTTACTCTATGCTTTGTGTAATTCAGCCACCATGGTCAAACCTGAAATAGGAAACCTAACATCAGTCAGTTCTGGCTTTAACTGTGTGGGTGAATTTTCCTCCAGAGCTCTTCTGATGAGCTGAACATTGCTGCTGTCGTGTGTCTGTTTGTGTGTGTGTGTGTGCGCTCCTGGATTATAATCCTGCTGACTGTACCTCCTTACAGGGATCACCAGTCTGCTAGCCAGTGGTGTCTACACTTCTGCTTATCCTCTGCATGATGTGAGTATCACCATCACACTTCATGGCCAATTATTGCAACTCATTGACTTTCTAATATGAAAATCAACAAGCATCTGCTCCTCCATTATTTTATGTAAAACAATACTATGTGTGACTAGAATGACTGTCAGGTTTTTCTTTTTTACAAATGGTAGCTCATAATTTTGGATAATATTAAATGCATTATTCATGTGGATTTATGTGTGTATGTGTGTGACTGTTACAGGGAGACATCGATGGGGTGAATACAGAACCTAACGACAGAAACGTAAGTAGAGCAAATCAGCTGGTGTTCACACATTGCAGTCTTGGATAGAACCCAGAGCAGGTGTGTCCTCTGCTGTTTGGCAGATTTCTTACCCTGGGACTTGGGAAAAAATAATATAAGCATTTCACTCTAACCAGAAGTGATCATCGCTCGTGATTTAAATTCAAATGTAAAAATCCAGTTTGCAATTTCATTTTCGGGACCTTTCTGTGTGGAGTTTGCATGTTCTTCCCGTGCTTGCATGGGTTCTCTCCGGGTACTCCGGCTTCCTCCCACAGTCCAAAGACATGCAGCTTAGGTTGATTGGTGTCTCTAAAACTGCCCATAGGAGTGCATGTGCGTGTGTGTGATTGTTCGTCTATGTGTTAGCCCTGCAATGGATTGGCGACCTGTCCAGGGTTTACCCCGCCTTCGCCCACTTGCTGGGACCAAGCGGTAGAAAATGAATGAATATTATATTTCATTACCATTATGTTGTGTTTTGCTTGATGTTACACACAATCAGTTGTCAATTGAGATTTTGTTTTACAACAGTTCTACAGCTTCCATAACAATAAAATGACTAAATGTGCTCCTGTTGGCATCAGGTCAAATTAAAGAAGCAAAACCCTCTTGAAGGTTACTTAAAATATAATTTTCAAAGATTAATGTCAATAAAGATATTTGTATTTTTATGCCTCCATGCAGGCGATAGCTGATTAGAACTGATTATATTTTAGCAGTCAAAGGTCAAAGGTCATGGCCCCGTTTGAATTTGACTGGTTGACAGACACATACTCTTAAAATAACGGTGCAGGATAAAACGAAATTCTGTTAATTTTATTCCTAGACCTTTGTTATCACAAATGGATGGGTTATGATTTGGTTTCACTTCCTGTTTTCATGCTTTTATTTTGATTTTCTTTCCTGCTCCGCTCCACCTCTCCTGCCCCAGCTTTACTACGGTTCCCAGTCAGCATTCATTGATTTCACCTGTTGCTAATCATTCCCCGGTCTCTGGTCATATACACCACCTCCTTTTCCTCAGTCACTCACTGGTCCATTAATGATACTCCTGATGATTACTCAGTTCACAGCACTTCACTAGTTTGCTTAGTTGCTCTCGTCACCTCCAGTTGGCCCAAGTAACATTTTTGCTCCTGAAGTTCTCTCCTTCTGACGACAGCCAGCACCTCACCTGAAACCTCTGCACTCAGTTTACCTGCTCCTCGACGCCGAGTAAGTCCACCCTCGATCTGTGACTATACTCTCTTGTGCTTCACACCGCTGCCTGGCTAGCTCCTGTACCTCTCCTTCAGCTTACGTGTTCACTTCATCACCGATCCAACCACCTTGTGCGCTGCAACCACTACTCACTTGGGTTCCTTACCTCTGCCTGGGCACGCCTGCCTTGTCCCCAGCTCCACTCTCCTGCCTGCTCGACTCACTTGCGTGCTCCTAGCCCCGCAGCTCCACCTAAGTCTCCCCTGCCTGTCTGACTCACCTGAGTGCTCCCGGCACCATAGCTACACCTCGGTTCTTTGTACCATTATTGTGTAATGAAGACTTTCTAAACCTCACCCTAGTCCGGGTCTGCATGTTTGGTCCAATTCCTGAGTGAATCCTGACAGGATGTAGTTGTATGTGTACAAATTATTTGTAAATAAGATGAAATATTGAGGTTGAAAGATGCTGTAATACAGTAGGTGGGTATAGAAAAGGGGTAGGACCATATACGTGTATACTTCCCTCTTTATGAATGTAATATTTATGGACAGTATATACTTCTTTAGGGGGGGAATTTGTTAAAATATTTCTGTTTATTTTAATAGTTTGTGTGTGTGTGTGTGTGTGTGTGTGTGTGTGTGTGTGTGTGTGTGTTTGCTTTTTATTATTTGAAATAAATATAATCTCATTGTGACCCTCCTGAGGATTCAGCATGCTACTTTTCACTCATCGCCTCCATTGTAGGGATTTGGAAAATGTTGACATACAAGAGACAGTGTGCAGCTAAATGGTCATATGTCAGTTGGCTAACCAAACATCATGCTTGCTTAGATCTGCCAGAGGCACTTAGCTACACCACGGAACACAAGGAGCTAATTTCTGTGTTAACTAATGGTTGAACCCAGGGACACTGACTTAGTTGCACCACTTGGGATTGTTTGATAAAAATAAGTAACAAACCTTGACAGGCAGTCATGCTAACATGACAGCATTTTTGCATTTTTGAGCCTTTGTCCCCTATTGTATAAAGAATAAAATTAAATCAGCAATTGGAAAGAAAATAAGAGCTCATGCTGAGTGCAAATGCATCATCTCGCTTGCTAACACTCTCCATAATTACTCTGTAGGCTGTGTCACAAAGGCAGCGGCCTATTCCCCCTCAGGTGTTCTCAGGCATCAAAAAATATCACAATCCTGCATATACATGTGTATGAAAAAGATTTTCCTTGACTGTAGATGAACAAGGTCAAGAATCCTGTTTGAATAAGACGTGCTTCTCTCTCGGGCTCAGTCTTCCCTGATCTGCCGTCAGAGCTCTCTAGGCCTGCCTCCTGTGATTAAAAGCCTTCACTGGCCATCTGGCAGTTTGCTGCTTGCCCTATGAATGGACTGTGTGAAAATGTTTCACACACTATGGTTTCACAGTGATTTATGTGCGTTTTGCCTACTATGTCCCTACATAGAGCACATATCCAATCACCGGTTTGATTATAATTGTAAAGACCGAATCTTACAGCAGTGATTTGCATATAAATAAGTAAATAAAGATTGTTTGCAGAAAGCATAATAAATAACACTGGACAACAAGTGCATGCGCACACACTTTGTTTTCATTCCTCATTGGAATGTTACACTGACTTTCATTTCTTGGAGACTTATCCCAACCATAAGCTTAAAGGCTGAGTCCCCACAGAGTCTGTAAACATGTTTTGGTCCCCACGATGGGAGCAAACCCAGGTACACACACAAACACATGTATCAGTGTTATAAAATGTTATAAATTATACTACATGTTACTACATCGTTTACTGTCGAATGGTTCCAGGCAGTTAAATGAGATCAGTAATACATTTCACCTATACTGACACAGCTGATATTGGCACTTTGTTCCAACTTATATTATCACTTCAGTAATGTGCATGTTTAAAGATATCTGACCCCAAACAACCAAGGGTTTGTTAGTGTCTTGCAAAACAACTCATACGACCGTTATGCAAACAATTCACGAAGCGTTTTCTGATCTGCCCCCTCTGTGGTTCAGTTTGGGCCAATAAAACTAGACAAAGATCTTAGTTAAAACAAACCAGTGTTTGCTGTTTGTACTGCACGAGTAAGGGTGTCATTTCCCCTGGGGATGGAGGGAACAAATCCCATTCACTATTCCAAACTCTGTTGTACCCTGATCTTTTACACATTTGATGAATTCGCTAAAATCTGTCTAAATGTCCCCTGATTCCATAATCCAGAAAAGATGCTCTGAGATGATTTAAATAAATAAAGGCCATGAGTCAATTGGAGTTATGATTGTGTGTGTGTTTATTAATAACTCATGGTGTGGAGATGTACAGACTGTTTATAAGCACTGTTCGCCAGACGTACAGTTTTTATTGCTGAAATGCCGGCCCTACTATCTAGCAAGAGAGCATAGTGCTGTGTTTCTGGCTGCTGTGTATGTTAGACCAAGAGCTAATCCCTCTGCAGCTCTCAGCAAACTCTATGATGTCATCAGCGCACTAGAGGCAGCGCACCCAGATACTGTATTTATTGCTGCAGGCGACTTTAACCAGTGCAATTTA